TATCAGTATTTTCTTTGGTCACTTGTGTTTTTAGTATCAGATTCACAAACAAACAAACAAAACATTGCTTGACCTCAGATCATGCAAACTTAATATCTATATTTTCTTCTAAGAGTTTTATAGTTTCAGTGCCTACATTTAGGTCTATGATCTATTTTGAGTTAATTCTTGTATATGGTGTGAGATATGGGACCGACTTCATTCTTTTGCATGTGGATATCCAGTTGGTTGTTCCAGCACCATTGGTTGAAAATACTAAGACTAGGCAAGATTTAAGAGAACAGTGTGAGCAAAGTGTTGGGAATAGCAACTGGTTCGGTTTGACTAGACCAGTGGTCAGCAAACTCATTAGTCAACAGAGCCAAATATCAACAGTACATACTTGTTTTGTCTATCTCCTTTCGTTCATGTCCAAACCATCTCAACATACCTTTCTCAATCCTCAACACTACATCTTCTTTCACTCCACAACGTTCCCTAAAATTAACTTAATGAACTTTACTTAAAGTTTTAAGTCAACTTCGCACTGTACGTGCACACCCGCACGTGGTACTTTGTGGAAGAGCCACACACACTCAAGGAGCCAAAGAGCCGCATGTGGCTCGTGAGCCGTGGTTTGCCGACCACTGGACTAGATGATTGGACAAGTAGAACTATTTCATGGGAAATTAAGCTGAAAACACATGTATGGTCAGATTATGGAGAGCCTGGAGTGCAAGAGTTGAAAAACTAAGGAAGATACTTGAGCAGGATATCAGAATCAGGCTTTCAGAAGATAGATCTAGCTGCAGACTGACTGTACACTGGATTGGAATGGGGTGAAAATTATAACTAGAGAGGTCGATTAGTAGGGTTGCTACAATGGTCTAAGTTGGAGGTCACAAATAAGATATGACAGTGAGAATTCCTGAGAAAGTGAGAGAGAAAAAAGGGAGCTGGTAAGTGAAAAGTATAATGGAGATAAAACATGCAAGTCTTACTGATTAGATAGTGAAAATGGATTGAGAGAGATGTGGGGAAATAGTGGCTCTATTAACAAAACATAGTCAAGTCAGGAGAAGTGTCAAATTCAACAGGGAATATTAGTTGGCTTTTATTATTTTTTATATTTTTTAAAATATATTTTTAAATTGATTTCAGAGAAGAAGGGAGAGGAAGAGAGAGAGATAGAAACATCAGTGATGAGAGAGAATCATTGATCGGCTGCTTCCTGCACACCCGACACTGGGGATCAAGCCACAATCTGGTCATATGCCCTGACTGGGAATCAAACCACGCCTCCCTGGTTCATAAATCGATGCTCAACCACTGAGCCACACCGGCTTGGCATAAGTTGGCATTTGGACATACTGTCTTCATAATTTGAAACATTCCCAGTGGAGAAGTCTAGCATTTATTTGGTAATGCAGCTCTGGATCTCAAGATGGAAGGGCTGGAGGTAAAGATTTGGGAGACATTGTATAATCACGGTAGTGAAGACCACGGGCATGAATAAGGGTTTTTCTCCTATTCTCCTGTCTCTGTAGATAGTTGCCCTTCTGTGTTTCAGGTGGACAGCATAATGATTTGATGTGTGTGTATATTGTGAAATGATCATTGCAATGCATCTAGTTAACATCTATCACAACGAGTCGTTTCTTAATACTGGCTATTTTGGTTATGAGCAAGTCAGCCACAATGGTTCAAATATGTCTGCCACTAACTCAGGGTTTCCAACACAAGTCAGTTTATGGGAATGCTCTCCAACTAAGGCTGGCAGTCGTGTCCCCTGGCAGTTGCTCAATTAAGTCTGATTAATCAATTGAACCAGACCAGCACGTCATACAAAACTTTACATATTGCGGGGCCCTTGAGGAAGGAAGAATCCTCCAGTATTCTGCGCAACACTCCTTGCGATTCCAGCCTCGTGTCCTCTCACAGGGAGTCTCTTCACCCACGCTCATGGCAGAGCTTTCTCCTCTGTCTGCCACTTGATATTTGTTTTGTTGCTTTGCTTTCTTTCCTGATGCTGTCCGTCCTGGGGAATGGGAACTAGCCTCTGGCTTGCCTGGTAATGTCCAAGCGTCTTTGGCAGTTATCTAACAGAAAAAACACCCTCCGGAGCCAGAGCAAGCAGAGGGCCTGGCTGACTCCTCTGACTCTGCTCTTTCAGGATCAGAAATTTATCTGCAAACCCATAATGGCTTTAGCAGTTATGAATTCATTTAAATTGTTTTGAATTTATTTTTGTTCTTTGCTGGTACTACCACTCCCAAGATAGTAGTACTTTTTAGTCAACTTAATTTTGCCTGCCAAGGTTTGAAGTTTTAGAGTTTTTGTTTGTTTGTTTGCTCATTTATCTCTCTTTAATTTAACAAAAGTGAGAATTGAAAATGACTGACAAAACATGGAGTTACAATGTGAACATAAGAGCAGTGACAGACAATAAATTGTTAATAAAAATAGTGCAGAGGTGAGAGAGAGAGAATGACCTAACAACACAGGGAGAACAGCAGTCATAGGCGCTCTCCATCAAATCAGGATCTTTCATCCTCATGTTTAAACACATTTGCTCCTGTATGTTTCACGTACCCTTTCCCCCTTACCAAGCTCTAAAGTTTTGTTGACTATGTAGTTTTTTGTGATTTTCTAAAAACCTGTTACATTTCTTTCCAAATCTTTTTCACCTTCTCTCACATGGCAGCCTCCCAGTTTATGATACTGTTTTTCAAAAACCACCCACATTTTAGGTGTTATGTGTGTTTGATGTGAAGAGAGTCGGCTAAGCTCTTTTCACTTCTGATGACGGCCAGCATCTTCCTGGCCGTTACAATTGCAGGGTACACCAACTTTCATGGAACAATACATAATGATTCCCATGATACTTTCTTCCATTATAATGGGAAAAGAGCAATAATTGGTAATATATTTGGGTTAATTTTCAAATGCCTATCCTGAAGTCCCTTTGCCAGGTTATATACTAGTATGTATGCATTGAATTTTTAATTTTTATATAATTATAGACTGGCAGAAGATTGCAAAGAAATGTGCAGGGAAGTCCTACACAAGCCTCTGCCAATGGTAACATCTTACAACTATCCTATAATATTTATAAAGTTCTATAGTACAATATTTATAAAGTTTATTCAGACCACCAATTTTACATACACTCAGCGTGTATGTATAGCTCAATGCAATGTTGCCACATGTATAGCTTTGCATAATCACATCGTAATCAAGACACTTAATTCTACCATCACAAAACTCTCTGGTGTTATTGTAGCCACATGCATCCCTCCTCTTTAACCCCTGGGAACCACTAATCTATTCTCCAGCTCTATAATTATGTATTTCACAATTATTACATAAGTGAAATCATGCAGTATGTGTCCTGTTGAGATTGGCTTTGATCACGCAGTATAATTGCCTTGAGATTCATTCAAGTTGTTGCATGTACCAGATGTTTATTCCTTTTCATTCCTGAGTAGTATTCCATTGTATGGATGTACCACCATGATTTTAATATTTTCATTGATTTTCTTTTAGAGAGAGGAAGGGAGAGAGAAAGAGGGAAAAACATTAATGTGATAAGCAAAATATCGATCAGCTGCCTCCTGCATGTCCCCTGCTATGGATGGAGCCCACAACCTGGGCATGTGCCCTGACTGGGGAATCGAACCAGCAACCTTTTGGTGCATGGGATGATGCTCAACCAACTGAACCACACCAGCCAGGCCTTGTACCACAGTTATTATAACCACTCACTCTTTGAAAAACATTTAAACACTTTCAAATTTTGGGATATTATGAATAAAGTGCTATGAGCATCCAAGTATAAGATCCTGGATAAATATAAGTCCTCATTTCTCAAGGATAAATGCCCAAGAGTGGAACTGCTAAGTCGTATGACAAATCTATTTTTTGTTTTGAAAGGAACAGCCTAGCTATTTTCTAGAGTCAGATTATTTATTTTTGGACTTTAATTACACTT